GTCCGGCCCCCAGAGGGGCTTCGTCGCCGCCGGCTCTCTGCCACAGTCCGGTCCCCAGAGGGGCTCCGCCGTCGCCGGCTCTCGGCCTTCGCCGGTTGTCTGCCCGAGTCCGGACCCAGAGGGGCTCCGCCGTCGCCGGCGGCCCGAGTCCGTCTCCCGACCCACAGAGGGGCTCAGCCGTCGCCGGCTCTCGGCTCGAGTCCAGCCCCCTCGCCGCAGGGGGGCTCCGCCGTCGCCGGCTCTCTGCCAGAGCTCCAGTCTGGCCCGACTCCGGCCACCACAGTGGCTCAGCCGTCGCCGGCTCCGGTCCGGCCCCCACAGTGGCTCAGCCGTCGCCGGCTACAGTCCGGCCTGAGTGCGGCCCCCAGGGGATCTCCGCCGTCGCCGGCTCCAGTCCGGCCCGAGTCCGGCCCCCACAGTGGCTCAGCCGTCGACGGCTCCAGTCTGGCCCGACTCCAGCCCCCAGAGGGGCTCCGCTGTCGCCGGCTCTCGGCCCGAGTCCGGCCCCCTCCCCCCAGAGGGGCTCCGCCATCGCCGGCTCTCTGCCCGAGTCCGGCCCCCAGGTGGGCTCCGCCGTCGCAGGCCCGAGTCCGGCACACAGAGTAGCTCCGCCGTCGCCGGCTCAAGTCCGGCCCGAATGCGGCCCCCAGGGGGGGCTCCGCCGTTGCCGGCTCCAGTCCGGCCAGAGTGCGGCCCCCAGGGGGGCTCCGCCGTTGCCGGCTCCAGTCCGGCCTGAGTGCGGCCGCATGGTGGGCTCAGCCGTCACCGGCTCCGGTCCGGCCAGAGTCCGGCCCCCAGGTGGGCTCCGCCGTCGCCGCCCCGAGTCCGCCACCCAGAGGCGCTCAGGCGTTTCCTTCTCCAGTCCGGCCCGAGTGCGGCCCCCACAGTGGCTCAGCCGTCGCCGGCTCCAGTCCGGCCCGAGTCCGCCCCCCAGAGGGGCTCCGCCGTCGCCGGCTCCAGTCCGCCCCCCAGAGGGGCTCCGCCGTCGCCGGCTCCAGTCCG